CTGCTCCAGCCGAGGAAGGGGGGGATGGCCACGCTGATGCCGATGACCCAGGTGGCCGCCACCACCAGCAGCGCGTGGCGGGAGCTGAAGCGGAAGTTGCCGAAGGGTTTGCAGATGACGATGTAGCGCTCAAAGGCCAGGAAGGCCAAGGACCACCCTGTCACCAGCCCTGGGGCAACACGGCCACTGAGCTCACACAGTGCCCATGGCCACCATGGCCACCATGGCCACCATGGCCACCATGGCCACCATGGCCATGGATCACCCTGACTCCCGCAGCCCCCTATGGCCACTGGGTCACCCCAAATCCTACACCCCGGCAGAATATAGCCATCAACCCAACCTTCAGTGGTCATCCTGGCTACTCCAGCCACAACAGATCACAGGGTTCAACCCGACCTACAGYCCCCCTGACCAAGGCGGTCATTTGGTCACCTCCAGCCCCACCATRCCACCATGATCACCCCAACTGCCCCAGCCCCAGGAGAACGTGATGGTCACCCCCACGTGCAGCTCACCAGACCCCAGTGGTCACCCCAACTCCTGTAGTCCCACCAGACTACAGTGCTCAACTCCACAGCTCCAGGTCACCCAAGGCCTGCACCCCAGCAGCCCGTGGTGCTCACCCCAACTCCCCCAGCCCCAGGAGATCACAGTGGCCACCGCTGGCCCCAGCAGCCCCCGGCGGTCACTCCATCCCCTCCAGCCCCAGTGCCCCCCGTCCCCTCGTACCTCCAGTGGCCCCCGCAAAGCCCTCCAAGGCACACATGTGCTTCCCGAAGATGAAGTATCCCTGGGAGCTGGAGACGAAGACGGTGAAGACGCTGAAGATGCAGCACAGGAAGCCGCTGAAGGAGATGTTCACCAGGATGTAGTTGAGCGGCTGCCGCAGCTTCTTGTACTTGACGGTGACGATGAGGACGATGGCGTTGAGGGGGGTGCCCACCACGAACACCACGCCCATGAAGATGGTCTGCAGGTAGAAGGCCCACATGGGCGCGATGTGGTACTGGGGCCCATCCCAGGGCCCCACCGATGACTGGTTCTTGAACAGGTAGAACTCGTCCTCGTCCATGGCGGCGGTGGGGGGGGGCACGCCCGCCCCCCTGATATACCCTGCGCCCCCAAAGCCGCTTAGGGGGGATCAGGGCTCAGCCCAGCCAAACTTGGGGATTAGGGTGGGCTAAACCGGGCTCAGCGCCTAATCGGCCCCCTGAGCCGGGTCGAGCCGATTGCCGGGGCTCTGGGGGATTTGGTGGGGGCGGAAGGGCTCCCCCCACACCTGGGTGTGGGAGGGTCCCCAGGGGTCTCTGAGCTCGACTCTGCTCCTGGGGTGTTCAAGTGTCCCCAGGTGTCCCCAAGTCCAGTCTTGGTCCCCCCAGGATGGCCAGAGGTTCCCAGCCTTAGTCCTGGTCCCACCAGGGTTCTCAGTGTTCCTCAGGGGTCAGCCCTGCTCCCCCC